TCTTGCTCAGAAAACTACCCAGGTATTCAGAGGCTGAGAAGAAAGGAGAGGGGTGGAATTAGCAGAATGAAAAACATTTAAAAGTCTAACGATGAAAAAAGGTGAAAATCTGGGGGGCAACGAGAAGGAAGGACGAAGCAAAACGTCCTGTGTTTCTCTGAGCGTAACTCGGGCTCAGCGCCCGTTCCCCTTGTCTGATTCCCACTTTAAAATGCAAAGACTGACTTTCAATCCCATGTGTCAGATTTTTGAAGGTTTTGCTCCCCTTTTAACCCCCCATTCCCCCTTCTCAGGGCTTGTGTCCTAAACAGATCACTAAGTGAAAAGAAATACATCCCTGTTCTTTTTGACATTGAATAAAGTTATAAAGCCTATCCATTCAATTCCTTTTCTTTCTGAAACTTCTTATTTTGAGAAAGGAGGTAGTTTGGTCACAGGAAGAAATTCTAATCCATAATTCTATGAAAAAAGGGGAATATAAGAATTCTTTCCCTTATTCAGTCTTCCACCACCTACAGGGCATCCAGGTCTTAGAGTCCTTGACAAAAGAAGATTGTGATTCCAAAATAAAATGGGATTTGAAAAAATATACCTTGGTGCTCAGAATGTAATGTGGAAAGGCAGATAGAATGTTTCCCAACCTGAAAGCATGCTTAGCGGAAAGGTTTACCTTGTTAAACGCCCAGTTCATGGCAAATTCGAGTTACATTCTATTAAACCAAGATGTGAAACTCCTTTAATGAGTAAGACAAACGGTCCTGTTGTCACATATTCCTGACATTATACATCTGAGTTTTAAGCGCTGTAATGTTTGGGCATCAATTGTAAAAGTTTTCTATCTTTAAACTAACAAACTTTCTAAAGACACTTTATTATCAATATGGAAAATTCTAAAGATTGTACATAGTTCATGGATATATTTTATCTTAAACTACTTTGTGGTTGTTGGAGAATGTGTATTTTATTGTACATTCAAATTGGAATTTTGTCATTCTCTTTATTTCTCTCCAAAAACACTGTTTCTTCTTATGTTCAAGCTCTAATATATATTTATGAATTCATACATAAATATAGATATATATTTGAACACACACATATGAGCTTAAAATAAGTATTTTACTGATGCTTCTTAAAATGACAGTGTTTTACGAAGGGAATATGTTCATGTAAGTTCACATAAAATCTAAAGTTCTTTTTTTGGTTCAGTGTTTAGAAAATTCTTGATAATTTAGAATCTTCCACAATGGAAAGTAAAGCATTCTGTCACAAAAGCAGGGAGAATGAGACCCAAGGTCAAAGAGCGCTTTGGAAACAAACAGCTGGACCAGTTTATTTAAACAGATATAGGGGTGGGGAACTGACCTCTGTTTGACTTACAGTGGGAGGAGCAAGAATGTCATTTTATTACTTTGCCCAGAAAGAAAATGTTTTTGTATCTGAATCCACCCTGAAGCCATCTAAACACATGGCTTTGCTGTATATAGCATACTTCCAAAGAGAGTACATGTAAAATAGGCTAGGACAGTGATAAAATACACCAGAGAGAATCAAATGAGGTGGTTTTAAGATCAAAGAGATGATGTTTTAAAAAATAAAATATTTTGCAATTAGTTATTTTCAGATAACGATGTCTACCATGACCCCAGATAATAATGTATTTCATATAAGCATAGGAATGGTAATTCAGTAACATTCTGAGAGTTTATGATGTCTTATATGAGTTGACAAAGTTTTCAAAGAAGAGAAGTTCCTAGTATATGGTCCAGTGGTTTAGACAAAGTGATTAGGTGCTCTTAGGTTTTCAGTGTCTTAGTATTTTTATTTTATTTAATGAAATATCTTCATATCTACATATCCTATAGGCAGCCTGCATCGGTGTTGTCAATAACAACTGGTTATTGCCACCAAAGGAAAAGCAAACAGAACCTAGAACCTGGGGGCCCTTAGCTGAGAGGCTGTGGTGAGGTATTTACTCGCTACTTGGGGACCAGAGCAGGGCTTAGAATAACGGCATTTAGTGTTGTCCACTGAAGACCTTCAGAGGCACAGAGACAAACCTAATGAGTAGCGAGTGGCTCAGATGGTGAGTGGACTCAACATCCTAGAAGGACTCACATTCTAGAATGAGCTTGTTAAGAATCACAGACGTGTAACATAAGGAGAAGAGGGGAGAAGCCAATGGGGCATGATGACTATAGTTTAAATATTTGAAAGGCAGTCCTGAAGAAGTGAGATTGAAATTGTTAAATTACCCCCAAGGAGTTGTCCTGGTGAAAGCATTTTAGATCAAGTAAGGCAGAAGCTGCTAACAGTTGCCTTGTCCATTGAATGAATGGACTCTCAGTTCAGGTGGCAAGTACTGTATTATTGGAAATAGCCCATCTACTAGGTGGGATCTCAGAGAGGGAATTCAGGTCGGTGAACAAGCTAGGTGACCATTAAAGCCCTTCCAAACCCAGGTGTAATTTTCCTATCATACACTGGGTTAACAGTCATGGATCCAAACCTGAGTCGGTTATTATGAATTGGTCTTTGGAAATCTGAATGTACAGGTGTGAAGGAGGCAAACCTTAGAATATAGGTAACTCAAGTCACTGAGTCTTCTCATGCGTAGCTTTAGGTTTGTCTACGTCCACAAGCAGTACAGTCCTCAGAAGGCCCAGTCTACCAAGTGTTCAGTCTCGCTCATTCTTGGAATCGATGACTGAGTTCTTGCCAGTGGTAATTGGCTCAAAACCAGTCCTTCCTTCCTTCCTTCCTAGAGAGAACAGAAGGGAGGGAGAGGGAGAGAGAAAGAAAGAGAGAGAAAGAAACATAGATGTGAGAGAGACATGTCGATTGGTTGCCTCCTGCATGCACTCCCACCAAGGTCAGGGATGAACCTGCAACCCAGGTGTATGCCCTTGACTGGGAATCGAACCCACGATCCTTCGGTACTTGGGCTAATGCTCTAACCACTGAGCAACACCAGCTGGGGCAAAAACAGTTCATTTTTAAATATCTTTGTGGTTCAGAATATTCTAGATGGGTGGCACAGTAGTGGTCATGCTCTGGTTAGGACATTAGAGAGGGGGGTGCTTGCTACCGTTTGCCAGCTGTGTGTCACTCAGCAAATTATTAACATCTCTTGGGTAACATGTGACCTCAAATAAGTCACTTAATTTCTCTGAGCCGTGACTTCTCATCTGTTAAGAAGTGCTCTTCCTATTTTTAGAATAATAGTATAAAACATATCCACAAAATATTGTTTTTAAAAGGACATTAATAAAAAAAGTTATCAGACAGAGTTCCTTCCCTCTAAGAGCCTGCAGATTTTGCACAGTAGCATAGATAAAGTATTGGTTTTTGCTCTCTTACCTATGTTAGTTACTATGAAAATTACTTTTGGTATTTGCAGAATATTAATATTAAATAATTTTCTAATTGGTCATGCAGTGAAGGCAGCTAATGAAAAAGCAGATTTTTTTTTCATTTTAATTGGTTATTTCACATGGTGTTTGTGCTACACCTGTGCTTATAATGAGAATGGAGAATTAATCTAACCTTCTGCTCACATGATTCCAATTTTCATGGTTTATACAAGATAATGATAACCTGATTTGCAACACAATTTGTTTTAGATCTGTGTTTTAAATATTTTTATTAGCAGTTCAGAGACTTCATATACAAGAACTGATAGAATATGTATTGCCAATAAGAGTTAGCACCAAAGGTGTCCTTTTGGTTAGGTTCCACTGTCAATACTTATTTTAATTACTTCTCAGATAACGGAAAAAACACCTAAGAATGTAAGATACTGAGAATCTTAAAATGTCATGAAGTATTCATTTTTATTTTAAAAACCTGTCCCTATCTGTTTAATGGTTTGGTTTTGGGAACTGTTTTCCCACTTGAAATGGGAAGACTTATAAACTAGATTTCAGACTGGACTGTGGCTCCTTTAATTATTAATAGTGCATTATTAAACTTTTCATTGTATTTTTTATGTGCTGCTCATGTTCAATATATTCAAATCTGAGTTGAGAACTAAAAGCAATTTACTATTTCAGAATCTAATATGTCCTGTTCATTTTCTGTATTTGAGATGTAATTCTTAGTATTACGCAGTACCTAACGGATCTTTAAGAGTTAGAAATTTCATGAGCATGACTTTGGAGAGCTTCTATTAACCACATTTTTATTTTTCCAGCGGCTAATACTCTTTGATGGGCAACAAAAATTGTAAAACAAAAATCTTATTAAGACACTTAAGTGACTTAAATATCTTAATAAGACGTTTATTATAAATTTTCAGGTCTAGCTGGAGAAAGCAAGATTATAAGTTCAATTACTGTATAGCTGTGACCTCGCCTTGACCTCAGACTTTGCATAAAGAGAAAAAAAAAAAAAAGCCACCCCAAGAAATCTCTACAAGGAATGCATTTCTCTGAAGTCCCCAGCAGTGTGAGTTAGTGGTGATAAACTCCAGACATTCTCTCATTTGATGGTGTGCTGCCATCCCAGTTCATTATCTTAATAGTGGGCATTAAAATAGAATTAGGTTTGCAAGAGGTAGGGAAGGTTTCGATAAAAATTGTAAAAAGAAGTCAGAGAACGTAAGCTTGAAATGTCACTAATTGGGGGAGGTAACAGATGCCCTTATGGACATCTCGCTCTCGCCACTGAATTTCTCCCCTTGCAGTTGAAAAGAGTGGTGGCTAGCATTGTTTCCTGAAAATTCTGCTAATTCCCCCATGAAAAGATGAAATGGAAGTGTCCAACTGTGGTAAAACAGGCAAACATAAATCAACTCAGAAACCCCAAGCCTGTGTACTCAAAGGTCACTGGGGGTTACAGGTTTTGCAGCATGTGAAACTGCACACAGAGCAGGGGAGAGCACCATTCTGCCGGGATCTAGCTTTGCTCTCGCTGTGATTCATCTTCTTTTCCTCCACTTCCCCCCACCACGTTTTTTGTTCTGTTTTAGGGAATAATGATTTGCTCTACTTTCTTGGTTACAGGTTTATTAATGCCCGGAGAAGAATAGTGCAGCCCATGATAGACCAGTCCAACCGAGCAGGCAAGTCCCCCATAGTGACTGTATTCAAGTCACGCAAGCGAAAACCATCCTCAAGCCATTCACCGGGAGGTCCGATACCTGGTAAATAAACTGGGAGTGAGTGCTAGGAGCGCCTGGCAATTAAAATGAAACCAGTTTCGTTTCATAACAACACTAATCAAGTTAACATCATTATAAAATGTTTGGAGAAGGTGGGGAAAAAAAGCCAACAGAGAAAAGTAACTCTTAAATCATATGCTCAGTTACAATATTCTTGGTACACATTCAATATATTAATGTTATTTTTTTTCTGAGTTTGCCTTCCCAGCTCTTTCTGCTACTATGACCACTCCCTGGTGCATGGCTTGGTGTGGAATTGCTGTAAACTTTATTACCTGTCAAAAGGGCAAAGGGGTCAGGATCGCTTGTGGGACTCAGTAAAGTTCAAAGACATTCAATGAGGTAGAGCTTTTGTGTGCTTTAATAACCCAAGGCAGCTTACTTCTGAAGCAGCTTTTCATGTACAGTTAAAACATGGGATTCAGGTAGTGGTATAAATACACGATTCCTATTTTCAGGCCTTCTCTTGTTAATATCCATCTTCTGGTGGTCTTTTTTTTTTTTTTTTTTTTTTTAAAATAACAGCATTTTGTGTTTTAATCAGAGCTTAAAATGGCAATACATCTGTGGGATCCCGGCTTGCAGATGTAAGAACCCAAGAAATATCTTTCTAGGATTTGCTTTTGTATTGTAACACAAAATATACCAGTGAGATCAACCACAGTATTTACTAGGGGTGATGTGGGTCTCTACTTTCTCTACGAAACACACTCTCATCTCACAGAGAGCACTATGAAAACCTATGGTAAGCGCCACACTGAGTCACTACGTTATTAGGCATATTCCTGTAATTTTTTTCTTCTCAACAACCATTATGTGATCACCAGACAAAAACCCAAACATGAACTTCCTATAGTTTCACTATTCTTTGAACAGTGTTTTAAAAGTTGGTCACAGAGCTATGTGGAGCTGAAATTTAACTTGGAATGTTTTAAAATCATCCATGCCTGGTATGTTCTCTCTCTCTCTCTGTTCCATTCTCTCATGGAGACTGTTATTAAGAACTTGTGTTCTGCACTTTTGTAGTAAGTCAAGGAACACCTTATAACCCTGATGGACAGCCGATGGGAGGTTTCGTAATGGACGGTCAGCAACACATGGGCATCAGGGCGCCAGGTAAGACTGTTTTGTGGTTGCTTCTCATTTGTAACTCCAAGAGTGTCACCCCCCTCAGCACAGGTAAACTCACTTCATCCTTTGCTGTCGTCTCAAGCTGCCTGCCTTGCCTGCCATCTGTGCATCTAAGATACTGCAGAGGGGAAGCCAGGATCTTTATGCACTGAAGAGCTCACTGTTTCTCAACCCTCTGGAATCTGGTTTTTTTTAAGGGTCTTTTGGCACTATCTGTTGACTTTGCTCATTTTCTGGCCTCTTCTTGGATTTTTATCTCCCTTCTAGGACCTATGAGTGGAATGGGCATGAATATGGGCATGGAGGGGCAGTGGCACTACATGTAACCTTCATCTAGTTAACCAATCGCAAAGCCAGGGGGAAGTAAGTACAAATGGGGTCTTTGTTTTCACTTTGTCCTAGGAATATTTTTCCTCTTGCATTTTCTTACATTCTCCTTGCCCATAGCTTCATGCTTGTTCATTCCTTTCCATTAAACTCCTGGTTTCTTGCTTCCTTCATTTTCTCCTTGGTTGTGATCAAGCTTTTAAGCTTATAAATACTGTGTATGATGTACATTTATCCTGTGTGTTGCTATTATACAGTACTGACCACATGACAAAATAAGAAACAGTCAGGAGGTGGGGGAGTGGGTTGTCATAGCAACAGACTGATTTGCAAAATGTAAGCAGTCTGCAGCAGTGCAAGGAGAGGAAAGAGCATGTCCCCAAAGTGTCATAAATCTGTCTAACCGCAGTTGATGCATGAGTTACATTTCTACACTAACCTGCAAGACACTGAAAAGCCAAACAGAGACTTCTTTTAGGGAAAATAAACACTAGCTTTACATAGGGTAAGTAAAGGCATATTTTGAGCTTCAGTCAACTAAACTTTGATTTTTTTTTTCTTAGTTTATTCCTTTGTCTGTCCATCATAATGGGATTACGTGTGGCAATGGAAAAAGGGAGAATACAAAATAGAGGTGTGCACAGCAGGCTGCAGGGCTTAGCCCAGGCTAATTGACTATATCCAAATTAAGTATGCCATCACTTGCAGTGTGACAAATGGATTTGACTTATCCAGTATACAAAAATAGAGATCATTAATGCAGTCTTCAGTGGCAGGCCTCGTGAAGTGGGCCTAGGAAAACTGCCCCAGATTCTCGCTCTTGCATTTTCTCTCCTAAAAAGACACTCCAGCAACTCGTGTTCAAACAAGTAAGACTGTTTTGAACACCAAAGCTCTTGTTCACTTCCTCAATTACCCCTAATAGCATTGCTCTAGCTTTGTTTCTGAAATTAAAAGCAGTTATGTCCAAGTCTTGGTTGTGTCTCTGATTATATTAACGCACTATTTAAAATCACTGCTGAGGCCAAGGATAGTTCATACTGGTCTTCCTCTCTGGGTGTGAGTCAAATAGAAGTTTAACCATGAGCTCCCGAAAACATTCCATTGAGCTCGGGAATGCATCGGTCTTATTACCTCATCATGGAATTCTCTAGCTTAGTTAATTTAAATATTGTTTCTTAGTTTCTGGGTCAATTAAATTTAAATGATGTATTTTATGCTTCATGACCAATTAAATTAATAGGTTATTACAAAAAATATTATCATCTTTTTTGATTAAAGAGCTGTGGGTACAGTATATTTTATAAGCAATTTTCATTAGTTCAAAAATGTTCCTTTAGGCTAGATTAAGCAGCCATTCATTGCTAGAGCCTGGAGACCTTATTCGAAGGTGTTCATCGGATTCACAGTGCACTATTACTTAGAACTAAAGCCAATTGAACCTACTTAGCAATAGCGTCATGCCTTTCACCCTTGATGATTATGGAGCTTATAGCTCTCAGAAACAATACACCTGTCAGTTTCCATCAACTATAGCAATCCATGCAGAAGACAAGAGGCCCCTCAAAGCAGGAGGGGTATTGTTTTAGGTCCAATTTTTCTTATTGTTCTCAAAATCATTGTAAGGTGGACAGGGTTTTGTGAAAGCTTTCTTTCCCGAGCCCTAAGAAACCATGAGGAAGGAATTCATTGATAACTGTTACTGTTTTGTTTTGTTTCAGTTTTTAAAAGTACAGGTTTAGCTAAGTAAGCAGCCTAAGTGAGAGCCTGTCTAGTTAGTTTGGTGTGAGATGTTTCAAGACCAGTGTGGGGTACTCTTGTACTTTCGGTAGAGAATATTTCAGGGAACAAAAGTTGCTTCTTCAGACCAGACCTCAAATAACAGTTTTATTTTTTTAAATAAATAAGTCCTCAGTAGGCTGGCCCAATAACAGTGGCAATGAAAGGAGAATAGTCTCAAAATGTGCGTTTCCAGCATAACATTTCTCATTTTATTTTCTTCTGTATGAATCGAAAGAATACTTTACAGAGCCATGCTCCCTTAATCACAATGTCCTCTGGCTTTCGTAGGATTGCCATAGCCAGAGCCACACTATTGCTTTTTCATAATATTTTTCTTTTTGTTTCTTTCTTTTGAATTTCTACAGGGCTGCAAAGTATGCCAGGGGAGTATGTAGCCCGGGGTGGTCCAATGGGTGTGAGTATGGGACAGCCAAGTTATACCCAACCCCAGATGCCCCCCCATCCTGCTCAGCTGCGTCATGGGCCCCCCATGCATACGTACATTCCTGGACACCCTCACCACCCAACAGTGATGATGCATGGAGGACCGCCCCACCCTGGAATGCCAATGTCAGCATCAAGCCCCACGGTTCTTAATACAGGAGACCCAACAATGAGTGGACAAGTCATGGACATTCATGCTCAGTAGCTTAAGGGAAAATGCATTGTCTGCAATGGTGACTGATTTCAAATCATGTTTTTTCTGCAATGACTGTGGAGTTCCATTCTTGGCATCTACTTTGGACCAAGGAGCATCCCTAATTCTTCATAGGGACTCTTAAAAAGCAGGAAATACCAACCGAAGTCGATTTGGGGGACATGCTAAATAACTATATAAGACATTAAGAGAACAAAGAGTGAAATATTGTAAATGCTATTATACTGTTATCCATATTACGTTGTTTCTTATAGATTTTTTAAGAAAAATGTGAAATTTTTCCACACTATGTGTGTTGTTTCCATAGCTCTTCACTTCCTCCAGAAGCCTCCTTACATTAAAAAGCCTTACAGTTATCCTGCAAGGGACAGGAAGGTCTGATTTGCAGGATTTTTAGAGCATTAAAATAACTATCGGGCAGAAGAATCTTTCTTCTTGCCTAGGATTTCAGCCATGTGCGTGCTCTCTCTCTCTTTCTCTCTCTCTTTTCCTCTCTCTCCCTCTCTCTAGCCTGGGGCTTGAATTTGCATGTCTAATTCATTTACTCACCATATTTGAATTGGCCTGAACAGATGTAAATCGGGAAGGATGGGAAAAACTGCAGTCATCAACAATGATTAATCAGCTGTTGCAGGCAGTGTCTTAAGGAGACTGGTAGGAGGAGGCATGGAAACTGAAAGGCCGTGTGTTTAGAAGCCTAATTGTCACATCAAGCATCATTGTCCCCATGCAACAACCACCACCTTATACATCACTTCCTGTTTTATGCAGCTCAAAAACATAGACTGAAGATTTATTTTTAATATGTTGACTTTATTTCTGAGCAAAGCATCGGTCATGTGTGTATTTTTCCATAGTCCCACCTTGGAGCATTTATGTAGACATTGTAAATAAATTTTGTGCAAAAAGGACTGGAAAAATGAACTGTATTATTGCAATTTTTTTTTTTTTTTGTAAAAGTAGCAGTTTGGTATGAGTTGGCATGCATACAAGATTTACTAAGTGGGATAAGCTAATTATACTTTTTGTTGTGGATAAACAAATGCTTGTTGATAGCCTTTTTCTATCAAGAAACCAAGGAGCTAATTATTAATAACAATCATTGCACACTGAGTCTTAGCGTTTCTGACGGAAACAGTTTGGATTGTATAATAACGCCAAGCCCAGTTGTAGTCGTTTGAGTGCAGTAATGAAATCTGAATCTAAAATAAAAACAAGATTATTTTTGTCATGCTGACTCCACTGCTTGAAAAATTTGTTTACTGCCCCCCCAAATTTTTGATGGTTAATGCAGTAAATATAAAAATTAATTTTGGCTCCCTAAGACGCATATGTACTTGAAAATTTTAACCACAAAGTAAATTATTTAATAATAGTTACTGATTTCTTTAAGCTGACTTAATGAACTCCTAATATCAGCAAATTGAAGGCCTAAGGGCACTAAACTAACTGTAGACTCAGATTACATCCAACAGAATTACTCATCTAATATCAGTGAAATTATTCTTGCGCATATTGGCAAACCAAGTACAGTTAAGTCTTCTACTAAGGATGTTACCTAGGATGAGCAGTATATGTTTATTAGGAAATTAACTACATGAATTGAAGAGACCAGACTTCAGAATCTAATTTTTATAAATATGCTCTATGTTCTCATTGGCTAAAACTGGTTATTAACTAATTTTCCAGAACAGCTGTACAGAATTTCTGCATGGCAGCCAGCTAAATGGTACAAAATAACATGTTTAAGCTGGAATAGCTTATAATTTTATTTAAATAAAACTGCTGCTATAAAAGTGCTTCCCAAAGCTAAGGAAAATATACAAATATTTTAATTAAGGCAAATTAGTTTTAAAAAAATCAGTCTTTTAACAGTGATTGCTTTGTAAACAAAGGATGGGTCGGAGGAGAGCGCCTTCAACTCCAGCCTGACATTCAGGCCCTTGTCACTCTATAAACCCGCCCTGAACAATTCTATTTTCTATTTGAAAAGGGGAACCAGCTGCGGGTTGGGTTTACTAGGTGCCGCGTGATTGACCGGCTCACCTGCGGCCGGCCGCGCGCGCTCGCACCTTTGTTTACGGGCCCGGTTTCCCAGCACGTGGATGCGCGGGGACCAGTGGGCCTGGGCCCGCGGCGGCCTCCGGCGGCGACCCCCACCCCCCGCCCCCACCATATATGGGATTATTTAAATTTCCCCTTTGGCCCCCTTGGCAATTCTTCGTCTCCATAAATAGTCCGTATTAGTGAAATACTTCTCTTTTGATAGGTGGTTACTAGCCGTTAACAACCATTTATTTACTTTAAAAATTAATAATAAACTTTATAAACT